AGAGAGAGAGAGAGATAGCTGGTTCCAAAAGCTGCTACCACTGAACCAAACTGTACCCTGGTAGAGCCAAGGCGTCAGAGCTTAGAGACCAACTCAGTAAAGTACTTGCCTTTTGGATCACCTGGAATGGGTGAATGTTGCCTCTTTTCTAAATTTAACGCTTGGAAGAGTCTTACAGCCTATGACCTTTACCCTTCTTAGCTGGTGATAGGGGCCCTTTGTCAGCAAAGCATTCATGTGGATTCTGCTCTGCTGTTGCAGGTCACTCCCCCTATTAAGTCTCAGACAGCAAAAGGGGTGAATTGAAAGCTTTTCTCACTGTAAAGGTTTACGCATTATGCTCAGCCAGTTAATGGGTTAGCAGAATAGGTTTCCTACTGTGTGAATGCCTTCCTTTATTAGGTGTATGCATCCCTTCCTTCCCTCCCTCCCTCCCTTCCTCCTTCCCTGGAGCTCGTTCTCTCTCTCCCCCTTTCCCCCTTTCCTCTTCTCCCTCTCTCCTCCTCTCTACCTCTCTCCTCCTGTCTCCCTCTCCCCCTCTCTCCCTCTCTCCCATCTCCTCTGTCTCTTTCCTCTCTCCCTCTCTCCTCTCCCCGGCCCCAGTCCTGGGGAGTTGAACCTATAGCCTTTGCACTGAGCTACATTTGCAGATTTTTTCATTTTCTTTAAAATTTGAGGCACAGGGGCCAGGGAGATGGCTCAGTAAGATAAGCGCTTGACTGTCAAACACAAGGATCTGAGTTCAATCCCTGGTTCCGCAAAAATAAATAAATAAAATTTGAGGCACTAAATTGCCCACAGTGGGCTTAAACAAGTGATCCTTCTGCCTCAGCCTCCCACAGTCCTGTGATTACAGTTGTGTGCTACCACACCTGGCTATATATGTGTATTCTTTAAAAAATTGACTAAGTACACCTTGAAAAACATGATGCTTCTTTCTAAGAGCTACAAAATTAGAGACATTAACTTCCTAGATTCTTTGCACAAATACACTGTGTGTGTGTGTGTGTGTGTGTGTGTGTGTCCCTATATAAGGTTCCCACTTCCTCATTCTTAAAAATGAAATTCCAAAGTTTGTAAGTATCTGAGTCCTGAAGCAAGATAATTAAATGTGACAGGAACACAGTAACCAGAAGACCTGGGAGGCCATGAAAGATTTGCATTGCAAATACAGAAAATAAATAATGAGACTTCTTTTTCTCCCTTACAGGGAAACTGGATTCCAAGATCCATCAAGGAGCAAAGAAGGGGCTCATGAAGCAGAATAAAGCTGTCTAATCCAAGAGAAAAGAAACCATGCAACATAATGGAGTTTTGTGCACTAAAATTGCTATCTGCTGTCTTTTGGAATTGAAATAGTAGAAATCTAAAGACCTGGCAGCAGGCTTGAATCTCAGAATTTAAACTCTTACCAAAACTTGTATATTTTTCTTAAAGAGTGGGATTCCTTGTGTAGTGGGTCAAAATCTTTGAATATATTATTTATAAAATTCATTTTAAAAGTTCTAGGTCTTTGACATTTTTGTGACTGGTATTTGTAGCTAGGAAAATTATTAACCTGTGTTAATGATTTTTTCTGTGGAATTCCTTAGGTTTAAATTTTCTTTTCAAAGTGATAGTCTAGTGAAATTTTAGGATGTTTGAGGAAGCCTGTGTTTAATACAAACCTGTTTTGGAACAAAAGGTTTTAAAACAAGTTTTTGCTCTAAGATCTCTTTGAGGTGAAAAGTGAAAATCTGAGTAGATCCTTATTGGCAGATGGGGTGTGTGTAACCTCAACAAGTGCTTTCACTTTGTGCCCTAATTTGAGAAGCTGAGACATGGAAAGATTGGATTGGGAAGAAACTGAGCCACCTGCTGATTCAACATGAAGCCTACCCTATTTTGTTGGAATTACGAAAGGATCACTTGGTTTGTGCAATTAGAAACAAACTGAAAAATAAAATCCCTTCAATGAATGTACCCAAATACCCCCAAACGCTAAAACCATACTTTAGTTTTATTTTTTTATGTGGAACCGGGGATTGAACTCAGGTCCTTGTGCTTTCCAGGGAAGTTCTTATTCCACTGGGCCATCTCCTAGGTCCCCAAAACCACACTTTATTTAACCATCTGTTGCAAGAACCTGTGAACTTTAGGAAAACTGAAGGTAGATTTGAAATGAGATTTTTATGGCTCTTCAAGCCCTACTTTGTGAAGATCTTTGTTTCTGAGACTGTTCTGAATAGCTATCAGAATCTCAGTTGCTGGCATCCTGAGGAAATTCATGGTCTTAAATGCGCATGTTCTGCTTTTTATAAAACACCACCACCACACGGGGAAGTTGGACTCCCTCCAGCAGTTGTGTGCAAGACTTAAAAAAAGAGAGAGTGAAGATGAGAAAAAAAGTGTCCTGTGTTATGAAAACGATTAATTTCCCCTTTTTAAAATCCTTCATATTCAGCAGCATTTGCATCACGATGCCTACTCATGCGCTGATGCTCGCTCCTGCGGCTGTGAGCCCTGCCGCTTGCATGGCTGAGGCCGTGCTAGTGCAGGGCCAGGCCACTCTGGCCTCACAGGAAAAACCCACCAGACTCTTGTTTTGAGATGCACACATGCAGGCTTGTCTTTCCACTCACCCTCTGTGGAAAAAGTGGGAAGGACTGCTAATGACAAATTTTTAGGGGGAAGATGTCTCTTTCTGGCCTCTGGTAGACCCTGCGATTAATGACAACTGGGTTCATTATATAGTTAACATTTTACCAAGGAGTAGCACCTTGAACTCTGTGAGTTGTCTGACTCTCTTCATACCAAAATAAAACTGCAAGGGAAGAGGCAAAGACCCTAAGGAGGAGAAGAAAAGTTTCTCTGCCACGTGTTTAAAACAGCCTGCACACAGGTGGAAGAGTCGAGATTGATTTGTGGTGTTTGTTTCTTTGTTTGTGTTTGTACTGGGGATCGAGCTCAGGCCCTTGTGCTTGCCAGGCAGGTGCTAATGCCGCTGAGCTGGATTGATTTTCCACCTGGATGGATATTGTGTGTGTGTGTGTGTGTGTGTACCTAGAGAAATATATCGGGAGCGGCAACAGATGAGGTTATGCAACTATTTCATGCACTGTGATCAAGTTTACAAGAACTTCACAAGTTTACAGAAACCCACCTCAGCAGCCACAACATGTAGCTGGAATAAGCCACATGAGTAAATGGCAGGATAACTTGGAGACTCCTTTTCATGATTAGACTGTGAAAGCCTGTCTTCTGCTCACGTGGTGGTAGCATAAGGTCTCTCTTTGATTCACAGAGACACCAGGGAGGAAGTGTGGAGAAGCTGGAGGTAGGTGGACCTCAGCTGCGCAGCGATGAATAGCGTGATTTAAAGCCTCGTGGAAATTCTTAGCAACCCGGGTGCAAACTCACCCGGGAGTAGCTGGTTGGTGCTTTACAGCATTTCATTCTGCCTGGCCTGAGGCTTCCCTCGTGTTTCTCCGGGTCTCACTGAGCAGCTTGTACTCTACTGATCCTTGTGTTGTCAGTTTCCCCAGCGCCGGGGTTACAGGTGTGTGCCTGTATCGTCCCTAAAGGAGTTCAGTTTGTTTTCCAGGCAGGAGCCAGACTCACCTATGTAAGCTTATAGTGGGCTGCTCACCCTCTTAGGTTCTAGAGACCCTAGCCTTGCAGTGAGGTTTCTGAAACAGTAATGTTTCGATTTGTCTTTGCTTGTTTTATTTTTTTCAGTCTTGTTTCCTATAGCTAATGTAGAAAAAGAAAACTAGGTGCCCCCCTGTCTTTTTTTTTTTTTTTTTGTCTTTTTAATTAGAGGTTTATAGAATCCTATTTTTCCTAAAGGGCACTACAAAAAATAAATACTTTAGATTACTTTTACAAATAATTATAAAGTTAGGGGCTTCCTCCCTCCCCCCTGAACCGGGGATTGAACTCAGGCCATTGCACTTGTTAGAAAAGCACTTATTCTACTGAGCCATCTCCCCGGCCCAGGGGCTTTTATGAGTTATAACTCTTAATCTCTTTTCATTTTAACTACTGTCTACTAAAGCTCATTTATGTGGATTCCATTTAATGTTTTGTTTTGTTTTTTTAGCAGTGGCAAAGTTTATTCAAGCATCCATTTAATTTAGTAATATTTAAAAATCCTTTTGCTAGAGCTCTTAGCCAAGAAGGAGACACTATGGGGTTGTTCTCTGGGCCAGCTAAAAGAGACCAGTAAAAAGCAGACATCTATTAAACTGGAGAAACCAGTGAACTTCAGTCTTGTAGGCCTAGAGGAGGAAAAAAACGCAGTGCTGAAGGCCTTTAGTTCCTTGAGATTCCGAGAACAAGCACGTATCTCCTGGCCTCAGCTCCTGGAGTGTGTTGGGAGGGAGGTGCTGCACCTCCCAGGCTCGGCAGCCGGGAGGGACTTGTCCTGCGAAGGCCTCGCCACTCTCTCCTGCAGAAAAGACAGGACGTACCCACTTGTGTGCACTTGGTGTGGCCTAATTCACGGGATGAAATTGGTTAGGGTTATGGCTAGGGTTGTGACTATGGGGGAACCCAGAAAGAAAGTCTACCTCAGAAAAATGGGGGCGAAAACACAATAAATATGTTTCAGGAAGGGAGTGATCTTGACATGGAGAGCAAAAGGTGAATACATAGGAGTTGAGAAGAGTCTAGAGCTGTACTGTGTAACACAGGAGTCACTTGCCATGTGGTTATTTAACTGTGAATTTAATTGTGTTATTTAATGAAGGGGCTTACATAGGATGCATAAGGCCCAAGGACTGGTCCGTAGCACTGCAAAACAGATTAAATTAAGGATTCACTTTTTTAGTCACTGTTAACCATATCTCAAGTGCTCAAATAGCCTAGCCTCATGTGGTTATTCAAACCAAATAGCACAGATACAGACCATTTTCCTTTACAAAAGTGCCATCTGCCACTGCTTGTCTGGAGTAGGGGTTGGCAAAGTTTTTCTGTAAAGGGCCAGATCACAGGTATTTTAGGTTTTCCAGGCCAGTGAAAACTACTGATCCATTGAAAATTTTAGTGAAAAAAAATTTTTAATGATTTTTCTAGGCTTGAGAGCTTTCTCTGGCTAAACTGTAGCAGTCACTTTTTTTCTTTTTAATTTAGTATTTATTTATGTATTTGGTACAGCGTCTCACGACGCAGCTCAGACTCCCAGTGATCCTTCTGTCTCAGCCTCCTCAGCACGCCATGCAATACTGGGGATCGAACCTGGGTGCTTGTGCTTGCCAGGCAGGCACTTCAGACTGCTAAGTTATGTCCCCAGCCCCTCCCTCTTTCTTATGCAGTTGAGTCCTATCTGGCATTATGCTCCATCAGGAGGAGATGAGTATTGAAATGTTTAGCTCTGAACTGTGTCACATGTAAATAAATTTATTTTTTGTCACATGTAAATTGAAAACATGAAACCCTTCATTTTCTCCACCTACTAAGTAGCTCAGTACTCACTGTAACATCAGCAGTTCAGACTGAAGTTTACGGTCATCTAGTGTCAGTTCTGCTCCTGTACTGTCCAAGAACAGTGAATACTGGTGGACCAAGGGGGTTTATGTTTCTAGGCCAGACAGACTTAGTGTTGGCTTTAGCTTTTAACTTTCCCACTCTCTTTTTCTTTTTGTGGAGATGGAGATGAGAAGGGATTTTATGACTCATTCTATCTCTCAGGCACATGCTATCTTAAGTGGCACTAGTGAAGGATGCCTCAGGATAAGCAGAAAAAGAAGGGCTAACTGCAGAGCGGAATCAAATGGCCAAGGACACAGGAAAGACATAATAGGGGTTAAGTAGTGAGGAGCCCTAAGAATTATAAATTAAGATAAATTTATTTGCTGTGGCAGGAGGTGGAAGCTTAGCAGGTTGTCAAGAATAGGCTGTTTCACAAGTGATAGGTGGGAGGGTTCATGTAAACAAGGACTGAATGCCTACTGTGTACTAGACAGTTGGGCAATCAGAGATAAGGCAAGATAAGAGTTACAATGGATGGCAATTGAATAGGGTGGGAAGGACAGGATAAGGCCTAGGTAAAGGTTAGGGATGTGGCTCAATGGTAGAGCGCTTGCCTAGCATGCCAGAGGCCCTGGGTTAGAGCCCCAGCGGGGGGGGGGGATGGAAGGGGAGCTTTTAAATACTATGTAATAAAAAAGTAAGATTTAATGATACCGGATGTAGGTTCAAAAGGGACCTAGAAGGATTAGAAATACTTGCTTTGTACAGAAAAACAAGTGGTAATTGTACAGGGAAAAGAAAAAGGGTATACAAATTAGAGGGTTTGGTGAACTATAGGGTAAAACGGATGCAGCTATGATGAGCGACGGTTGTCTGTTCTTTGTGGACGCTCACGTTCAGACCCCAGGTAGGCCTCTCCGCGCCCCATGATGGAAGGTCATCGACGGAAATGGTGTCTTCTGTATTTAGGGTACAGCGCTTGTCCAGGGACCTCTGGCGGGAAGTCTGGTCCGGCCACAAGTCTGGTCCAGCGAGACTCTGTGTGCAGGGAGAGCGC